TTTATTGTCTCTGAGAAACTCCTTGTTAGGAACCTGAGACACACAGCAAATAGGACTTGCCAAACCTTTTATAATTCATACATGATTTAACCCAGGTTTAACCCATGCATGATTTAATCCATGGCTCTGGAGTCATAGGACAATCTTTAACAGATTTTGTCATTCTGATAGATTGGCATGGAGAATGGCAAGTATATAGGCACTGTCCCCTTCACTTTACTTTCTGGTTCCCTAGGCCTTTTAGCCTCAGACAGTTTGGGGGCCCCTCCCTTGGATCCCCTAGTGTTGCAGGCAGTAAGTGGTTTTGTACCATAGAATCAGTCTTCCTATGATGGCAGCTCTTCCCATCCCAGCCTCCTATATTCTGGCCCGAGGCTTCCCATATTCTGCCCGTAAAACTTTCCTATCTAGGTCTCTTCCTTTCCACACCCAAGAAAAGGTGCCCCCAGAACCCTCATACTTGCAGAACTTTTCATCATGGCCCCATTCTCAAATTCTGTCATCCTTCTCTGCTACTAGATTTCCAGTGTTTGAACCTAATATATCCAGAAATCACACATTTCTCCCCATTTCTACTCAAGCCCATGCCACACAAACCTGTTGGGGCTCCTGACTCTGTCATGTACCAGCTGGAACTAACTGAGCAAGCGACTCAGCCTTAGTAAACCTAATGATACCTTGCTGAGTTATTGTGAGGATTTCAGGAGATAACTTATTTGAAGGATCCAGCTCAGTGCCAGGCTTAAAAAATCTTAGCTCCCTTCTCCCATCAGAGTGGCCTGGAGCTCTTATCCACATTTCCCAGCACTTAGCACAGTAATATAATTAGCAACATTAGTATATCTAAAAGGCAATTACCGTTTAATTGCTCTGGCCCCAGCCAGCCTGAAGTTTCTCTCCATTTGCTTCTAATTTGGGATTAAGATTTTAAAATCCTACCCTGGCTGGTCACAAAATCATTGCTCTGGAGAGAATTGAAAATAGCTGTAGGCAGCCATTGATTACACAATAAAAGATTTGGTAATTCCTTCCATCTTGTTCTATATAAAAATGTATATATCAGTTTGCTCCTGGCCAGTGAACTAATCAGTTTCAAGTGGCATTTTTCTGAGAGTCAGTGAAGGATCCTTTTTGGATCTTTCTGGTCAACTCTGGTCTCAAGAAGGCAAGCACTCCTTCAGATGCTCACACTGATCTTCATTAAAATAAATTAGTACCCTTGTATAGATTCAAACTCAGAATCAAGTTTCAAGCATCCTTTCTTAGAAGACATTTATTTATATTACATACTCACTTTAAAGGAGCAAATGCCCTTCCCTCAGCCTGCAAAGTTTGTTTATCTTAGAGCTACTGTGAGAATATAATGCCCAAATGAAGGCAGTGTGTTTTATTTCTCCTCCTCTGACCCGACGTCGCATAAAATAACAGCAGCCTCTAATCAAGAGGAACCCAATGTTCTTTAAGATTTCCAATCAAAATCTTTAGTATTCGAAGGGCACATGTGCATTTGAGGAAACCTAGATTGCCTTAGGCCACACGGAAAGCATTTACATCTGAACCGCTTTACATATGATTGTGAGTTAAAGCAAATTCTAAATAACTTTTAGCAGTTTGAGATTTGGAAAACAGCCTGGCCCATATAAATTCTGCCTTAATTCTTTTTCTGTTAAATCTTATGCCAAAGTAAATGAAGCCGTAGGGAACCTTTGAACTCAGTTCTCAAAGGACTGCGGTGAAGTTAGATTGGCAGAGCCAACGTTAGGTTTTCAAAGGAAGATTTTCTTTTTGTTCCCCCTTGAAGTGTCCACATCACAGTCACCTTCCTTGGTGAAGGATGCAGTCTTGCTTCCTGGACCTTCTTGGCTCTGGACCACATATGTGCCTCTGAGAAATGGGCTTTCTGCTGTAAGGAGCTTCTCAGTGGGACTCTTTAGGACCTTTGGGGTTGGCATCCAGGCTTCTTAGCTCTTTTGCCTCACAGTTCAGTCAGCTGCACTTTTCCTTTTCTCTTTCCAAAAGAGCTATTGAATGCAAGAACCCTGGGGTTCAATGCTACCTCTTCCTGCCAGTAGCTTCACTTTCCAAGCTTCACTTTCCTTTTCTGTGAACTGGAGATTAAAATTAGAATGGTATATTTCAAAACAGCTAGCAGAGAAAAATTTTAATGTTCCCAACACTAAGAAAAATTAAATGTTTGAGTTGATGGATAGCCCAGTTACCCTGAATTGATCATTACACATAATACACAGGTATCAAAATATTATATGTCCCCCAAAATATGTACAACTGTTATATATCAACAAAAAATCTGCATCCTCAAAAAAATGGTATGGCCCACGTGGATCCCACATTTCTCTGAACATTTTACTCTGTACTCACAGCTTGCAGTTCATTACATTGCATTATTTATTTTTATTGATATTAATGATTATTAAAATATAAATATATTTTATATTCATTGTATTATATATGTATGTATGTAATGTAATATATGTGACATATATTGTACTGCCTCTAGAAGGCTGGGACAATGGCTTGTGCCCTGTATACCATTCTTAGAGTCCAGTTGTGCTGAGCGCACAACTGCTTCTTAATAAACAACTAATTGAATGTACTTTTATGAAGGTACCTCTTTATCCTTCTGTATCATAATTATTGACAGAAAGTGTTATTCATCAGTCAAGCAAACATGCAAAAAAATTAACTTTGTTCCCTTCATATGTGCTGTTTCTCTAGTCTAGATATAACCCTGAAGGAAAAAATGGCACTTATGTTTTGCCCTTTTTATCCTAATTCAAAGGAACATATTACATGTTTGCTAATTGTTTGCAAAAAAGTTTATATTAGCTTTTTTTTGGTTTTGCAAAACATGTTTTTGTAATTAGTCCTCATATCATGCATATAGAAAGTCAGCATTATTTGGCATAAATTGTTACTATTTATGTAAATTTGAAAAATAGTATCACTTAGACAGTTTCTCAGTTTATCATGCCAAAATTGAAGCTCAAACTAAAGTAGGCTATATTAGGCTATATGCTACCTGCTGTTTAGAGTTTTCCTCACTGCTCTACAGAGTTACTTTAGGCTTGGGGCTGGGCGTGGTGGCTTATGCCTATAATCCTTGTGCCTTGGGAGGCTGAGGCAGGAGTATAACCAGAGGCTAGAAGTTTGAGACCAGCCTGAGCAACATAGTGAAACCCTGTCTCTACAGAAAAAAATTAAAAATTGGCTGCACCTGATGACATACTCCTGTAGTCCCAGTGACTTGGGAGGCTGAAGCAAGAGGATCACTTGAGCCCAGGGGTTCAGGATTGCTGTCAACTCTGATCAGATTTCCTTTATCCAAACTTGGTAACAGACCAAGACCTTATCTAAAAAAAAAAATTACTTCAGGTGGTCGTGGTGCCTCTGCTTATACACTGCCAGTTACAGGGGCTCGCTACTGCTGGAAACAGCCTTTTTCCATTTCAAGCAAATCATCTTGAGCTTGTGTACAGAATGCTTGGAGATCTTTGTGAAGTATAGAGGTGTAACCATATTTGTTACTGTCTTTGAAAGAGAAGGGAGAAGACAAATTGCCATTCAAAAACCTGCATGACTTGTATGTTATAAACACAGAGAAATTCTTCTCATTGTGTTATTTGTTTGGTGTACCAATTATAAATCATTAAAGGAAGACTAAGAAAAGTCAACAGAAATCCATAATCTGACATATGTGGAAAGGCAGTGACTGAGAACCAGTGGTTTTGGAATCAATCCTACCTGGCTTTGATTCCTGTCACCATTAATAGCTTTGAGCAATCTGCTTTACTGTCTGGTCTTCTGTTTCCTCATCTGTGAAATGAGGGTAATATTAAGGATTAAATCAGAATAAAATTGTAAAGCAAAACACCAACACAGTGTCTGGCTCAAGATGGTGTTAAATAAATAATAGCCAGCATTATTATTGCATTATTTTTATTATGAGAACCAAAGGGGTTCCTACTTGACCGATAATGGATGTTTCTTAAAGAAGAAAACTGTATGAGGACTCTGAGTTGACTATCATAGTAGCCAATTAGGTGAAAGGGGGTTAATAGAAACAGTCAGCCCCCGGTTGCCACCTCCCCACAGTAGGGTTGTGTGGCCCAGTTTTTCTAACTACTTTCACAGCCATGAACCTCTTATCTAACATACAGCTCTAGGAGTTTCTCATACCCTTACTGAAAGGACTGACCAATACCAAATATTGATCATATCTTTATGTAAATAAAACATCAGCTAATTTCTTATTCTAATCTATATTTTTTGGTCAGGTCAATGTTGTGTTTCTAAAACAGCTCTCCTCCAAAAAAAAAAAAATCATGATTTGCAGCATTTGGCAATTTACATGGTGTAACTACTCCCAGGATGACGAATTGTAAGCTCTCAACATAAAGTCACTGAACACAGAGTTTGGAAGAGTTGTGCACAGTTGTTTGAGTTGTGCACAGTTTTTCAAGTTGTTGCCACTCTGTTACACCACTGGGGCATGCTGAGGCTTATGTTTTGATAGTGTAGGACAGGATAATTGACAACAGCAAAACCTACAAGCCAATGCAATAGAGGAAAAGTAGTTTGTCCTAGAGTAGTTCACTATAATATACTTGATAAACATGATTCATCCAGAAAGTGAGTTAATGCTGGATTACTCGAGCAAAGTATTCCAATGCTGTCTTTCTGTCCTTATTCCGTACTCTCCAGTTATACTTGGATGATAAATCTTTCCCTAGCCTCTTGGGCTATAGGAAGGAAAGTCTCCCTAATCACTTCTCAACTGTTTGAATGTTTACTTAACTGATAGTTTAGATATCTGCTCCTGAACATAATCCCCATGTTTATAAAAATGTTTTCCTTTTCTCCCTCCTCTTTCCCTTCTCCCCTCTCTCCCTTCTTCCTTCCTTCTTTATAACCATCCTTACTTCCTTCAGAAGTATTTTCTACCATATTTTGTATTCCTAACATCCCTACAAGATCATCAGAACAGGTACTAGTACTTCTGCTTTGCAAAAATGGTAGAGAAACTAGAAAATCATTCTAATTGTATGAAGCTCTACCATGTTATTACTTTCATTTTTAATTTGTTATTTTGTTATATTGAAATCTTCATTGTTATTCAGACATCCCTTACTTTTTCTTCTGTGAGTGGAGTGGTGTACTTTCAACCTCTGACTACTTTTCTTTTGTGTCATAAATTTAATTTTATTCTCTCCCTCAGTTTTTGAAAACTGTATTATACTTTAGGAAGTTGATTACAGTATTGTAAATACATTTCTGAGTACTTTTAATTAAGTGATGATACCTAGCACTTTCCCATCATGGTTAAGTCCCTGGAGATGACAAAACAGAATCCTTTTGGGAAGTGGTTCTGTTTTCAACATCTCATCACTGGAGCAAGCAGAATTCTGTTACAGACTTTGAACCGTTAGGGTGCTATCAGTTGATGATTTTGTCAACATAGTGGACTTATTTTAAAATCCAGGTTTTCTCACTAAAGACTTCTTAAAATTTTTCCAAAAGCCTAATGACAAACAAAAGAGAAAAAGACATTTGAGATAACCAATTCGGCATCTGCCATGAAGCCCTCTGCAGACCTGCTTGAGATCATCACTTGTACCATCCTAATCTTTGTGAGCATCGTTGGAAACACTTGTCTGTTTTATTCTACAAGAAGATGTATCACTGGGCATTTACAGACATCCTTTCTTCTAGTTTTCAATCTTATATTTGTCCACCTTATTAAAAACTTGGTGGTGAATGTAATGAAAATTGTTTACTCTTCCGGTATAATGTTGGATTCAGCTGGCTGCAAAGTTCTGCTCTTCACGTCGGCCCTAACAACTTCACTGACCATCTGGTTCATGTTATATTTTTCATTGCTTTACCACTGGAAGCTTTACCAAATTGCCCACCCCCTGAGTGAGAATCCAAGCCTGGACCAACAGAAGCATTCCTTGAAGGTGGTTTCTGTACTTTGGGTGACTGGTGTGGTGGTATACATCCCAGTTTTAATTCATACTAGAAAACCAGACTTCTTGAATGCGGGTAATGATACAGATCCTTTGTCTACTAACAGGATGTACATGGATTGCCCCGTTGTCTTTCAAAATAAGCAGGTAGAGTTTTTCTATGGGAAAATTGTTTTGGTTCTGATTGATATTCTTCCTTTAGCTATTTTAGTCTTTGTCTGTTTCTGGATGTCTTTCCTCCTTTCGGAGAGAAAGAAGATGACATATGGTGACATCTGGATTGGAGATGATGATTCAGAAATTGAAATCCTTAGAGGGGCCAAGTTCAGTATTTTATTAATGTTGTTGATCACTCCACTTTGGATTTCTCACTTTATCTTAGTCTATTTCTTGAAAGACTTGGCAGCATTCATCTTTATTCCAGCTGTTCTCACAGCTCTCTCTTCAAGCTTCTCTGCTATCAGTCCTTTCTTGCTTATGTTGGTTAATTACAAAATGAAGTTGGTGTGCTTCTGTGGTGCCAAGGAGGAAAAACCTACACCATAGCCTACAAATGTTATTCTTTCTCCATATGCTTAATGGCAAAGAATTCAAGTTTAATTGTTGGAAAACAGACCCTGTCATTGGAGAGTACAGCTAAAGTTTTCATAGCTCTCATCAACAGTTCCTCAAACGACCTCTAGAAAATTGACTCTTCTTCAAAAATAGACTTCAGAGAAAACTGTGCAAGAAAATATGTGAACATTAAGCTATTATAAGTTGAAAAAAACAGTCATCATAATAGTTATTTAAGACAATACCAAGAGTTCTAATGTAAAAATTCTAAAGTAACTCAACAGTTTTTGGTCTGAAAATGAACTCATGTAAATGATATATTATTTACTCTGTGCAAGATATTGTGTTAAAAAAAAAACAACATATTGATGAAACTGAAGATAATAATTCCTGGCTGAATTTTAAAGGTACACATAAATAATCTTGTTTTCCTTGAAATGCTTTCACACATATTAGAAGTGTATTAGGTAGGTGCACATTGTTCAGTTTTTGCACTTTTAATAATAGTACCTCATCTATGACAGAAGCAGATTTTGTTCATTGTCTTTACCCTAAATGTCTTTAGTAAATTAGGACTAGATGAACGCATTGGATTAAGGAATTAGTACTTCCTAAGTCATACTCTTTAAGCAAATGTATGTATAGATGTGTAAATATTTGGTTGTTCAGACATTTAACGCACTATCCTTGCTTAATCGTCTAAATATATGTTAACCTATACTGTTTTCTTCAGAAAAAAAGGATATTTATTTTATAGGAAATTTGTCTCTTTTTGATTATCAAATTGGTACATTTACAGACTGGAAGAATTTATAAAACCTTCATAATTATTTGATCTCTGGATTTTGATTCAATAAAAATAAGCACATTATAATTCTCATTAAAAATATTTGGCTGGGTTTTTCTTTTTCCCAGTTAGCTGGTTTTGCTCTTTGGACTGCTTCCAATACAGTGAGCAATTATTTTCAATATCTTCACATACATTTGGGTAAGCATTGATTTTTAAGTGAATTCTTATTAGATTTTTCCTTTTATTTTTATTTTTCTTCTGTGTTAATAGACCTGGGATTTATTATACTGTCAGTCTAGTGAATGGATGTCCCCAAATTGAGATCCCAGTTCTAAAAGGCTGCATTGAAAAGTATAAAACTAGACCTCATTAACAGAAGACACTAAGAACATCTTGTAGCCATGAAGTGTTAGAGAAAGGAAATTTTAAAGTAACCAAGGCCCATTTGGGTTGTGTGTGCCCATTTAGAGTTGTGTGTGCCAATGTCTGTCTTTTGTATAGCACAGCAAATTTAAAAAAAAAAAGACAGACTTAAGACCCTCTGAGATTGCTGGGTGGTCTTCATGGGAAATGCTTAGTTGAGTCCACTGAGGCAATTTAATCAAAAGGGCACTAGGCATGAATCCTGTATAATGAAGTTAACATCTGGAGAGATGGGGCATGTGGGGAAGAGGTCACCATGTTTTAATTAAGTGCAGATGTAGCCAAAGCTGAGATTAGTCATTAAGCTTAGTTAGTGGTTCTAAAATGTGATTCTGGGACCAACAGAATCAGCATCACCTGGGAACTTATTACAAATGCACATTATTGGGCACCACCTCAACCTACTGAATCAGAAAGTCTGGGATTTGGACCCAGCAGTCTGTTTTAATAAGCCATCTGGGTGACTCTTATGCACTCTAAAGTTTGAGAATAACTCCTCTAGGATTGCTTCAAAGTTTAATCCTCATGACAATCAGAATGCAGCCAAGATAACTGACTGAAGATGTAGTCTTCAGTGATCCCATACATGCTGCTGTTGTGTCTGCTTATCTCTAAACTGGCAATCAGGATTGTGATCTGTGTTGCATATATATACTCAATAATAATTTCCAAACACATCCACTGTAGAAATTAAGTGATCTTTGCAAAATCAAAAATAAAGCATAACCATTTCAGGTGTGCCAAAAATTTGGAACTTGGATTTGGATAGTTTCCTGTACATAACTGAGTAAGGGACCCAGTTCCCAGATTATTCCATAGTTCCTTTCCAGAAGCCAGTGCAAGACATGGTTGGTTGGCTTAAGCCCATGCTTAACTTCCCGGTGCTAGAATTGTTTTATTTTTCTTCCCAGATATTTTCTTCTTGTTTGGACCTTATTAGGTCATAGTTTTATCCTTATTAAAAAAACAATATCTAAACAATTGTAGAATTGATAAGTTTTCATTTATAATAGAGAATAAATCCTATGGTCACTGAATGAACAATATTACAGTTTTCTTTTGAGTTGGGGGGCGTCTTTTCTTTGTTCACAATGCAGGATTCTGATCTTCTCTCGGAGGACTTCTATTTGAACAATTTCTTGCTGGGGTGGGTGTGATTTCACAAAGCAGCCCATTCCATTAAAGCCCATTTGAAATACCATAATTACAGAGTCTTTGCTGAGACTGACATTCCTGACATTTCCTCCAAGATTTACCCTTAAAGTTAAACCCTCCTTTTACCTGCTGGATCTTTAGATTCTTAGAGAGGAGAGCTTTTGTTCTCTTCACCAAGTTAGGTATTTCTTTAACTGTTTTGCATAAGACAGTTTCCCAACCACTGGCTCTTTTGGCTTCCATACTCTGTCTTGGCATGTTCCAGATAACCTGTGGCTTTTTAAAGAAGTGGCACCCAGAACTGAACACAATATATTTTTTTCTTTGTATATGTGTATGCATGGGTGTTTGCATGTATTTTATTTCTATTATACATCATTTTATATTCTCTTGCACAGCTCCTGTGAGCATGGATTCTTTCACTGTTCCAAAAAGAATTTTAAATGTTTAACTCATTTTAAATCACACACACAGAGAGTGGCAGGGAGGAGACAGAGAGAGAAAGAGAGGGAGATACCAGATTTAAAAGTAGAATTTAAAAAATATGTGTATCTACCCTAGGCTTAAAAACTAAGGTCTCTCCAAACTCTCAAGTTCAGGTATACATTAGTTCATTCGCAGTACATGGATTGCAGAAACCATGAAATGACCCCCAAATCACTTGCAATAATGTTAATGTATAAATTAAATGGCAAAACTACAAAAAGGTCAACACTTATAGGGATTTTTCAGAGAAATCCTGATCTCTAGAATCAAGTTTTTAAAACAGTGCCAACTTCCTTGCCTTTTTAATGAGACATTAAAAAGATGGTCATAATCTAATTTTCATTGAAGATGAAGTTGAAGATTTAAATCAACTAGCAATGGAATATGTTGTGTTATAGACTAGTTGAGGGATGCCTGTGGGTAAGGTATATTAGATACACAAAGATCTATATACTTTTTGTTAATGATGTTGATGATACCTGCCATTTCTGTTTAAACTCTACTGGAAAGAAGAGTAATTCGTTTGGAGTTAGGTTCATGAACATTCAAGCAATACAATTCAGGGCTAAGGATGTCTGTGGGATTCTGACCTAGATGGTTCAAAGACATACCCTTGATTCAGAGCAGTCCAGGGCACGTCAGAAGAGCGCTAGACTGGTTAGCAGGAAATCATTTGCGTTAGCTGGCTTTGCCTCTACTTAGTAGTGCAGAACCTTGGATGGACTATTTCTGAAGACCTACATGACTCTCCAGGATATATGGTACCAGGGGAGACAAACAAGAAGGCACACTATTAAAATATCATGTGGTGCTGGCCAAGACAAATAAATACACAGGAGGCTGAGGCACCCAATCTAGATGGACCCTGGAGCTAAGGGAAGTCAGCAGTAGTAGTGCAGAACCTTGGATGGACTATTTCTGAGGTTTACCATCTGTAAAATATAAAAGATATGATTGCAAATTACAAATTATGATGCATGCCCTCTGCCTCCATCACAGGTTACAATAAATAAATTCAGCTAAAAAATATTGAAGATGATTTTTAAAAATAAAATGTTTGACACAGAGGCAGTGTTGCTTTACCATTATAGTTTTGGCAAGTTGAAGTAGGAGAGAAAAATACCAGACTTAAAGTCAGAAGCCCTGGCTGTGTGAATTTGAGGCAATTACAGAACCTCTCTGAGCTTTGGTTGCCTTATCTCCACAAAGGAAAGTATAAAGATGTTTGTCTCCCAGCATCTGTGTGAGAAAAAGTAAGCAAGTGTATGTAATAGCACCCAGTCCTAAATCTTGATATAGTTTTCTTCACAGTTTTTTCATGGGTGTTTCCTTCAGGAGAGTGAGGAAGAAATGCAGGCTCTCCTCTAGGAAATAGAGCAGGCTCAATATATTACATTAGTCCCTTGTTTGATATCAAACATTCTCTTGTATTTTTACAAACATGCCAGAAATTTGATATTTCAAGATGTGCTCTGTGCACACTCTGGCTTTGGAAGTATTCCCATGACAATCCCTGTTTATCACCCCACCTCACCCTTACCCTCACCCTTCAAGACCCCTTTGTAGAAGCAAAAATATAGCAAGTGATGCTAAATCAATGTTATGCATCTTTCTGGACATTCTGCTCCATAATTCTCACTGCTAGGCCTATTCCCATACTGAAAGCACAGATAACTGGAACACTTCCTCCTGCCCCACAAACTCCCTCCCCATTTACACCTTCATCCTTCGGCTTTCAGCTTTGCCATGCTGACTTCCCTTAGCTCCAGTGTCTAGCTAGATTGGGTGCCTCAGCCTGCTGCATATTTATTTGTCTTGGCCAGCACCACATGCTATTGTAATAGCGTGCCTTCTGGTTTGTCTCCCCTGGTACCATATACCCTGGAGAGCAGTAGAGGTCTTATCCACCACATGCATCCAGAATATTCCCTAAATGAAGAAGTGAATAAAGTCCACAGGGCTTGTGCATTTTCTTTGTTGTTCATGTGTATTTCTTGGCTCTCCTTAGTTGCCTCTTTCCAGTAGAAATTTCTTGCCTCTATCACTTTTCTGCTTCAGGATGAGGCATTTACTGACTGCCATGCTTCTGGCCACTGTTGAATCAAGGAGTGAAAGAAACCTAATCCAACATTTGGAATGAGTTGCTTCCTTGCCAGCCAAGCTACAGAGCCAACTGGGGACAACATTTCTACCCAGATCTTTCAGTACTCACTTTGTGATTATTTTGAGTTTTTATATTGAAGAAAGTAAGCACAATATCAGTGTATCAGTGTCCAGGCTTTCAAACTGAAAATTTTTCCCAGTACAAATTTGGCAGGTGTGTGTGTGTGTGTGTGTGTGTGTGTGTGTGTGTGTGTGTGGGGGTGCAGGGAGCGGCTGTGTTTTCCCAAGTGCTGATAGATTAAAGAGTAAAGAAATAAGTTGTAATGCAAACCCATTGAAGTTACCTCATCACCAAATGTACTATGCTCATTTATTTTGACAAGTTCAACTTATTTTTAATTAGCAGGCCTCCTAGTATACTGATAAATGGAGAAATAGTGACTTTGGCAGAAAGGGAGAAATCTGTGTAACATGAGCCTTCAAAATGAGTCCAAGCTGACTCCTTGTAAAATGGAGTGAGGCAATACATTTTTAAAAATTTTTCAGTAGAGCAATTTATGTGATATGTGACTGTAGTCACAAATCAATGAGCCTTTTATGAGCCAAGCACACCAGAATGCGTACACTAAAATGAGTGTAGTTTCTCAAGGAAATTTTGTTGGCCACTATAAGCTTTTTCCAGTGATGCTGCCATTATGTAACAGATTTTTGGAAGTCTTCATTTGGAATTATTTTCAAAATCAGTTTTCGAGTCACAACAAAAAAATTAAAAATATCACCTGAGTACCATAATACTGGGGTGGAAGGAGGCTATTTTTTAAATTACTTGTCTGTTTTTGTATTATGCAATTTGGTTCTCAGTTACTTTGAGCTCTCTCCCAAAAGGAAACTTCCATGGATGGAGCAGTTGGGCCATCACTGAGGTCACTCACGAGAAGGTGACATGGTGTTGATAGACCCATTATGGGCATAAGCCCCTCACACACACTTTAATAGGCACTAGAGGGGCTTCTGTTCTTGGCAGTTTATCAAAACTCTGTGAGAGAAGGAAAAGTCCTACAAACATTGTGTATAGTTGATGCTGTTTGTTTTGTTCTTTATCTCTGAAAGCTGGGCATCAGTTTGGAATTTGAGTAAGGTTTCTCCCAGTGCCATGGGCACATCCAAGAAGGGAGCCAAGCTGTCATCAGCAACTTCTGCACAGTATATAGTTCTCAGCAGCCTGGCCCTGTGTCCCCACATTCTAATCTGTTTCTTCTTTCCCTCTCTATCAGTTTTCCTACCCAAATCCAGAGAGCTAAACCATTGAAAAATGTTTCCTTCACCTTTCTCTACTCACCCTCCCCTGCATCTCACCTCTCCCCACTTCAGAAAAACAATGTAAACACATACACACCTGCCTAAATAAATAGCAAATTAAAAATTGTTCAAAAGAAATGGGATGATTTTAATCAGTGGACAATACTTATGGTGGATAGATCTTGAAAGAGGTGTGCTGTGGGAAGAGTGGCTTACATGCAGAAGAAAGCCCCCGGGAGACCTTAAAAAACCTGGGAACAAGCGATTGTAGCTTGTTATAGAGTCAGGGTGGATGGCACAGGGGAGAAGTTTAGATTCACAAATGACTAAGTCTTGAGATCTAAAAGGGGCCTAATGCCAATTATAAGCATAGTAATAAAAATCCTACATAAAGGATCTTAAGCTGGCCTGTCCTTTCTGGAAAGCCTAAGAAATGTATTTTGCTTAGGTATAAACCCACTCTTGTTTGTCTGAGTTGGGTTGGCTCTCTTGCCTCCAAGGTGCCTGTCTAGGCCAGATAGAGGATGGCTTCAGGACTTTCTCTGGGTTTGCACTTGGCACGGCTTCCTCCCATTCCTTTGGAGTCACAGCAGAGAAGTGTCACCATGTAAATCCACACTAATCACAACAAAGAAGAACCCTTCCTTCCTCTAGTTGTAAAGTGAAGGAAACATAATCCCCACCTCGTAACATTTTATTATGTTTGTGAAGGTTTTTTTTTTCTTGGTACTAAGAGATAAAGTGGACATTCCGTGAAAGCACAAATTGTGATGTGCCAGTAGTTTATTTGTAAGAAATTTTATTTTGTTACTGTTGTGTTATGAGAATTTAAAAGAATTTTAAAATACAAATGAAGTCAACATTTTTGGCAGGAGGCACCAATACAAAATTGGGGGTAATGGTGGTACTTATTGTTTAATGCTGAATTCCTTTGAAGGGCCAAACACTCAGATGTCCCCAAGGCATGTCGATGAGTTGAGTCCCCTCGGAGGGGCTCCAGGGAACTGAGAAGCACAGGCCCCATGGACAGGTAGGAGCAGCTGCAGCTCAGCTCTAGCCAGTTGTTTGTTGCCATGGGGACTGCAGACTCCTGTTGCCAGAGCTTCAGGTATTTAAAACAAAGCCAGAAATCCAGAATTTTATGTGAAATCACCCAAGGTCTGCAAGTTGGCAACTGATTCCATTTTTTTTTTTTTTAACACTGCTGGGGTCAAACAAATCACATCTGTTGGCCAGATTCAGCTCACAGGGCTCCAACGCATGCCCTCTGTAGCTGTGCTTTCTGTTAAAGCATGTTTGTCATGGGTCTGAAAGGAGGCTTATTGGTTTCCATAGTGGACTGGTGTGTGGAGTGGGAGGTGTCAGAAGAGCAGGATGAGAAAAGTGACCACAGTTCACCTTAGTGTCCTTATCATGTTTGATTATTTGCAGTAGCTACTCTAACCTGACTTTATTGCCTCCCATCTTGTCCCTGATTTCTCAGAAAAGAGTGCCTGAGAGTGTCAGGGGCTTGGTAGAAGGGCAGATGAAAGAAGAGGAGGCATTGTATTGGCCACTGGGATAACTGCAGACTCATGCCTACCTGTAAAGAAGCAGTTAATGTTAAGGATGTATCCAGGATTGGAAAACCACGGGGATTTCTGCACATTATAATTGAGAATGTAAATACTCTCAAAGTGGCACCCTGAAAAAGACAAGCATTGAAACCAGACAAAAGAAATTGGGTTGTAAACAGAATGAGACATCTTAAAGGAGGTAATACATGGAGGCCTGCTGGGAAATAGAGGCAAACTCCAAATGCCTGGGAGCCTTAGTCTAAGGTGGCATCATCCAACCTACAGAAATAAACATGAGCAGTGGCCCAAGACTTTCTATAATGAGCTACCCCTGTTTTAAGTCTTGTGTTCTTGCCTATAGAATCAAGAACCTCACTACCATCCTGCACGTGCAAATAGAAAGATTTCTGCTTTAATGTCATGAGTTATTATCTGCTGGTTATGTTCTATTGGAATGGCTACACTCAACTGGGTACTGCTCTCTATATTGTCGGAGCATCTCAAACAGGCACAGTGGTTATTTGTTAATTTGCTTAATTAAAACATATTCACCTACATTTTATAGTTTCATTTATTTAAAGTTCCATTTGGTTCCCAGCTCCAATGCATGATTTTCTGCTTCATCTTCCCCTATTTCCATGTTCCTGCTGATGCTGTGTTTGTACCATATCCTGACACCCAGGATGATCTTTGTGTTGTTCACTAAGGCCATGGGAACAGAGTCTGTAAATCAATAGTTCATCACAGAGTACACATTTAGTGAAAAGAAACTGGTTTGGAAGAAAGTCTCCTAGTGAACATTCTAGAATCCAAGGAGGGTGGATTGTCTCAGAATCCATCACAGTGAAAGAGAAAGTTGTTTTGAGTAATTTTTTAGCAGAGTACGTACATTTTCCTCTGAAAAGCTTTGTGAATTAGAAGAATAGTGATGTTTTTATACCAAGCAATTTGCTTGATAATTTCTACAAATAATACTATTTCTGATGTTAAATTTTTTTTACAAATAGTTTTCTTTTTATTGTATGCCTTACTGTGATTTCAGAGGAATTTTTAACATTTGATAAATGGATAATCTCATTTAAACATGGAAGTATCATCCTAATACTTCCTTATAGACTCTGTATCTACTGTAATTAAGACTATAAAAATGTTATATACAAATGGGGAAAAAAGGAATGGAAACAGGAAAATTAAATCAAGTGATGGGTTTGAGATAAGGGATGGCAAGTTTTTTTTTTTATCATAATTATATTGTTTGTAGAGCTTAAAAAAAAAGAATGGCTCAAAATAGGAAAAAAAAAAGCTCAGAACACATTGTGTTTTAAAAAGTAGATCTTTTTACACTTTCAGTCTTATATTGGGAAGCCTATTTTCATCAGCCTAAATGTATTTTCACTTTCCAGTAATGTCCTCCTTGCTGTTCAGCAAGGTGCACCTTGATTAGAGAATCAAAGAGGGCAAAATGAATTATTTCAGATACTCAAATCTGGGTACATAAGATAATTTGTACAATAGGAAAGACAAGTTGCAGGAAACAGAAGCTCATTTTGCTCTCTGAGAGTTGGCTCTGCAGAGGATAACTGCACAGCAAGGCGCCGTCAGGAGATCTATATTTCCACTCTTGACATCTGTAGGTGCCGCTGCCACCACCGACGGGGGCGATAATAAGTGACGGGAAAATGAAGTGGGAGGTGATGTATCTCACCGTGACAGATTTAAAGGATTGCCCCAGGCAGCCTTGAGGCAAGAGCTGACTGAAGACGTTTTGGAGGCTGCATCAGGTCACTCTGGCAGAGTCAGGCAAAGCTATTTGAGGCAGAGGGCAATGCAATAACTCTGAGGTTTAAATCTGCACTTAGATCCTCTTTCTTTCTTCCTTTTTTTTTTTTTTTTGTGAGGTGAACTGGAGGTTGTGCTACAAATTCTAAAATATCCATTTCTCTTGGTTAGTGTTATCTCTTGTGTTATTCTGTGGAGATCCGGTATTCATTGCTCCATGTACAACACCCAAGGATATGCCCACAGGAAACATTTGAAAATGGCTTTCCTAAAATTTCCAGGCTGGCTCCCCATTTCCCAAAGAGTGGCCTTTCACCCTGGCTATGATAAGAGTCAGTGTGAATGTTGTTTCTAGGGGGAGATTCTGACCCAAGTTACTGCTCTGGCAAAGACAGGCACAAACCAAGTAAAGCGAAGGACTTTGGGTGCCCACAGGGGAGCCACCCTGGGGACCATGGAGATGCTGTGCTTGCTACTTCTGGAAAGCCAGGCTACAGGCAGTTCAAGGGTGGAAATGTGCTCCAAGGCAATGCTAGCACCCACTATCCCTTATTTTATTTGTTTAAATATAAACATTATTTTTGGTTGTAAAGCAGCTAACTTTTTTTGTCTTTCTTTTCTGCTTCTGTCTCATTCAGGAATTTATAAGCATTTGACCATACTCAAAATGTGCAAGGAAGAATAATGGAAGCCCCTGAATACCTTGATTTGGATGAAATTGACTTTAGTGATGACATATCTGTAAGTATTCCTGTATGCAAGAAATGCTTTCAAGATACTCTGCCTTCAACTTCATAGTCTACTTTCTCCATTTTGGTCGATGTATCCTCGACTCCTCTGACTACATTTAGAAATTGACAGCAGAAATCCTGTGTGGCAGACTCAGTGTGGTTTGGAGGATCCCTTAGACCAAGAAGTGAATCTCACCTGAGTGTGCGAGTTTTGGAAGATGAGTCATTTAACTTCACTGAGCCTTTCATTCCTAATGTGTTCCAATGTTGTAAAAATTATTGATTGAATATACTTATAAAATGTCTGCATATAGTAGGCACTTTCATAGAGTTAATTCCAAATTCTCTTATGTGGCTGGCTGTTCCACAGCCAGAATTTTCTAGAGTTCACAGGGACACTGACTAAAGAAAAGCAAAGTTGGAATTTATTAATTGATCAACAATAAAAGGAGTCCTTTTAATTGCCGTAGTTACCAAAGCACAGATTGTAAACTTGTTTGGAATATTAAGGAAAATTCATGCATTGATAAGAACTGTACTAGCTGACCTCTGAGGTCCTGCTTAATCCTGTAATGCTGTGGGCAGATGAGTCTCTTTGTTCCCATACCAGCCACAGACTTCCTGCTGCTTAACTCAGGGCTGCTTGGAATGAATTGTCTACGTGCATCTTGCTTTGAGCTGCTTGTGCCTTATCTGGGACCACATAATCAATTCTGCTACACCAGCAAACATGTTGGCCTCAAGTGCCCCGGCAAAATTGGCTAACCCTCACAGTATGTGATGAGAAAGTTGCTGTTTCTGAGCTAGCCATGTAATTTTTCTTTCCAGGACCTTCAGGTTCACAACTTCTAACCTTATCTTCTATGGATCTCTCAGGGCCTGGAGCTTTGGGTCACCACTTGAAGTCACCACTTTAAAATTGTCTCAAAATGATGAACATACTTTATCATGCCTCTAGTAGTGGTATATTCATCTACTTTACTCCTTACCTTGAAGTAAAATATGCATAGTGTACACAAGAATTGGATTACTGGGATGAGTTTGATCAATCACCTGTTTTATACAACCTTGGATGACTCTTTTTTTTTTGTACCAGAGAAATTTGAATTCAACATTTGCCTGTTTCAGCTTCAAGACAATTTTTATTAGTCCTCATTAAGACCAATGTGAAGTGATGTGAAGTGAGCTTCTTCCTTCCCATGATCTCTCTCTCTCTACCGCCTTCCCCCCACCACCCCCGTTTCTCTCCTCTCTCTCTAAGTCACTGTGCTTGACTAGGAAATATTCAAAGAAAGGTTCTTTTATAACTCCCCTCTAAGTATTTTGAGCATTGTGGGAAGAAGCAAGGAATGTGAATGATAGCATGAGTGTGTGTAGGTAGAATGAAAGGAGTTATAAAAGGGAAACTGTGTTATAATTGGGAGTTGGGTGGTAGCTCTCTGAGCTTTGATAATAATGTTGTGTTTTAAAAGCAAAAGCTTTGAAAGCAGCCAGCGGGGGCTCCTACCTTGTTCTGACCTTTACTGGCTGAATAGCACATTAACTTCACCTTTCTGAGATACACTTAAGGTTGTTTTGAAGATTAAGTAAAATAATAATATATGTGAAACACTTAGCTTGGCACACAGTAAGTTGCTCTTAAAATGGTAGCTTTTGTTATTATTTCAATGAATAATACAATAATATTTATATGACCAATGGTGACGAAAGAACTCAAGGGAAAAGACTAGGCATAAAGTCAAGATTTTTTTTTAACTACAACAGAGCAGTTATATTTACAGAAGAATCATCTGGCAGCAGCCCATAATTTTGATGAATTAGTAATCTTTACTTGAAAGATAATAAAATACATTAAGCAATAACTGAAACCATTTAGCAAACTAGGCTACAGGATTATGCAATAGTTGAGTGTCTATAACTTGACCATTCTAAAACATAAAGTTATCCATCTGTAATTGTGTAACTGCTCCCAAAATTTCCCTCCTAAACATGTTTCTATTGTTTGGTTCTTTAACCTGCATTTAAAGTTATATCAGATTTTGAAATTGCATAGAATTGAAATTCTGTGAAATTCCATAGAATTGATGAAACAATAATAATAATAGCTAACATTTATTGAACATTTATCATGGGGCATGCCTTATCTTGGTTAATCCTCACAGCAATTTTCTAAGGTTACTGTTACTATCTTTAGTTTACAGATGAGGAAACTGCAGCATGAAGATTTGATATAATTCATTTAGGGTCACCCAGCTGGTTAGGAGTACTCTGTGTCCAGAGTATTTACTTTTAGCCACAACATTTTACTGCTTCTCAAGGATGAATATAGTTTATGGTTCACATCGGGGCAATTTTACCTGCCCCATCCCTACCCCAGAAACATTTAAATAATACCAGGAGACATATTTTGTGGTCATACTGGGGAGATACTACTAGCATCTAGTGGGTAGAGACCAGAGAGGCTTCTAAACATCCTGCAGGGCACAGCACAATACCCTGCAATAAGAATTGTCTAGCCCAAAATGTCAGTAGTGCTGAGGATAAGAAATCTTAGTCTATTTAAATCCACTTGAAACTGAAGAAGCTCTACTTTGGCAACCTCTACAACATAGATTATTTTATCATAATTTAGTATGATCCAGACTTCATACCTGAACGAAGCCAGAATCATATTGTTCTTATTAATGATTATGTGGGAAAAGAACTGGAGATAACCTCTTAAGTACTGAAATAATTGTTCTCAGACTATTTAGGTAAACTAGGAACAATGAGTGTTGGTTTCTTTAAGAACTAAATGGAGATTATTCAAATGCTAAAACTGAAAAGTGAAGATGTGTTTAACATACTAATTCACTGGCATAAAAAGAAATGTAGTTTCCCGTTAACATGCTTTTTTTTTTTTTTTTTTTTTTTGGATTCCATAAACCTTCATCTCTGACAGCCCTTAAGCCTTTTTCCTTGTTAAGTGGCAGGAGGGGGATGAAGCTGCACATTACATCTGAAAAAGATGTTTATGAAAAAGATGCTAGAGTTTAAAGCTCTTCTCCTTACTCTCCAGCTATAGCCCTATTACGTAGTCTAGGCTTTCTGTTCCATGGTTTTTCCCTCTGGTCATGAGCCTGGTTCTTGTTTTAATTAAAACACAAGATGTATATTGGTAGAAAAAACAACTAGAACTTTTTTTGCCTTTATTTAATGAGAGAAAACACAGCAACTAATTTATTTTTGAAATTTCCCAGACTAGAAAATAATGCACATCCTTCGCAAAACACGAAGTTTAAACTATGCATTCTTGTAATCCTGCCATCTAAAGGGCAGAACATTGTACAATAGCTGCAGCTCTGCAAGGGAGAGATGACGACACAGAAGCACAAAGATTGAAAGCAGGGTTTTTCTGTCACTGTGAATGTGTTCACAGATTTCTCTCTATTCCTATGGAAGCCAGATTGCTGTATCTTAAAAATGAAAACCCTCTGGAATTCTTTGGAGCCATGGTGTCTTTATTTTATTAATAGAGGCCAATATGGTGCTCTTAAAAATAGTTTCACCCACAGCACTAAATAAAGCAGACACTGAACTCTGGATTTCCTGAAGAGCTCACTCAGCCACCATCTACCCATTGGCTGTGCCACACACTGAGATAAACTCTTGAAGTAAGTTATCTTGTTCAGGCCTCATACATCAGCTTTGTGAGAGAAGCTCTGTTTTTATTCCTTTTGTCAGATGAGAAAATTGGGCTTAGAGAGCTTGTCTGACATTCACAAGGTTTTAGAGCCAGGACTTAAATCAGAACTATGTGGCTACCTTACCCCTCCCCATCTAAGCAACGTAGCTTAGTAGAAGTTTCTCTAGACCAGTCATCTCACCCATCACCATCCCTGATGGACACTGCAGCAATTACAAATTGTTTTCTGGAAGTAAAGGAATTGATAGACATTATAAATAAGTAAAATAAAACCAGTGAATGAGAATTTAAGCAAATTCTTTAATTTTACTGTACCTAACATTCCCATCTTTTAAATGACAATATCTCAACTTATAACCCTGGATTTTATGAAGAAAACATGACAATTTATATATATGTATTGATTGTGTAAACATACACCTATACATAAACACATATGTACACATAAGTATATACATACACTCATACAAGTACATAGCTACGTATATACACATACATGTAAATATTTACACATGTGTATACAGAGATACACATACAAATAGAAGTAAGAGAAATATTCTGTTGCCTTTCTGTGTTACCTTGACTGGAACTTTGATGGAAGTTGACTTTTTTGGCGATTGCATAAATGGTTTTTTTGTGCAGGTCAAATGAGATCAAGATAATACTTATCCTTCCACTTTTCAATCCTCCTTGGTCAAAGCCTTTGCAACCTAGAGTAATAGCACAAAATTATGTGACTCCATTTTCCTAAGGTGATTGAACCACTGTCTGATAGAAAAATTAATTCTTACGGTAAACTAATGTCACTTTCAGTGAGTTTTTATATTTTTCTATCACATAGACTGTGTTGCCTACCCGCTCCTGTTTTGTGTGCATTCCTTTTACTCAAGTCAATCCCCTGATGCTTCCCCAGATTTTGTTACATTTTGAGAAAGACTCATTTCAAGTAGACTCAGGCAATGAGCTGGCATGGGAAAAGAATACAGCTTAGGTGTGAAAAAGAGTATAAAGGTATTTAAGGTACAAAGAACCTGGCTTGCCTTTTTCTCTAGTAAGATGGACCCTCTTGTACTTTCTTCTGTACCTTCTAGAAGGTGACCAACACTTTCATGTGACCTCTGAGTGGCTCAGTCCCTTCTTCACTGTCTCTGTCTATAAGCCCTGCCCTTCTTAGCAGTCACCCTGTTCTTATCCATATGGAAACCTTGTTTAGTGCTTCTCAGTGTGATCTAGTTTCAGCAACTCTCCAGAATACTTCAGCTTTATGCAGTGTTTTTTTTTTTGTAATATTCTGCATTTGAGTCTAAATTGCCTCTCATTCTTCC